GTAGGCTATTTGTGCCGGACTGTTGAGTCCGTAGTTTGCGTCCTGTTAGCCTACAAAATTTGCTTTTTTGCATTTTTCGAGCCGTCAGTTGTTAATTATAAGATAGACGGCCAAATCCCATTATTCGCGTATAGTAGATTACAAGTTGGTGGTAGATGCTGTTGACTAACTGCCTTCCATCTAGTCTACCACTTCAAAATTCAGGGCGGCTATGCGCACATATCTCTTGTATAAACAGATTCTATAATTTAAGAGACATCTACGTATGCCCTATTTTTGTACATGAAAAATAAACACAGTGAAAATATTAAGGTATCTTTAAGCTAAATATCTTGAAGTTGTTATTCGCATTTTGTGCATCTAGCATTCAGCCGAAGGAAACAGATAATAAAATGAATATTTTCACAGCCGAAACTAAATTTTTATGGGAAATACAATTTACAGAAACACACTTAAACACACTCTACTGTTTCAACAACAAGCTAACGTCCTTAATATGACATGTTACATATGCCTTATTTTGATGATACTCACCTTTGATACTAGAGATGAGTAAAATGTTTTGCAATATAAGGGTTATTAAATATTATTTTTAATTAACTCGATACTTTTTTCTGTGGTTGAAATATATCAGTAATTCTTTAAAAGGTTAAGTGTATTCTGTTGTAAATAGTATGTTTAATAATTTGTGTTTTTGTTTCAGAATGTTTACGCAAAGCGATAAAAGAGCTATCTGTGCGTAAATGTCTTTAATTCTGTATTGATAGACTAAAGTGAACACTACTAATCAACAATACCCCCAGCGTCAACTCTTGGCTACTATTGGCTGATAGAAAAGTTGGATTTCGCCTTCGCTCATGTAGTGCACCTACAGCCCCATAGTGTGGAGACCATTTTTTTTTTGCGGCAACGAGCCATGAACCATGAATCCTCGGATTTAGAACCAGAGCACGCTAATTACCAGGTCATACCCGGCCCAATATGTTGAAATCGACTTCGTTTCATGGTTTATGTCTTATTTATTATACTGTGTTATGTAAGTTCTTTGTATGGGATCTAATGACCTGCTATTCCTAGAACAGTCTGTATTATCCAGAAAATTATCTTCCCGTGTCAAAGTGCTCGACTGGTAGTTTTTGACATAGAGAACTTTACACGTTATTGCATATGATGTAACTGAACTTTATCCGGTGTCCTTAACACGAAATTCAGCGCAAAAAGTTGCCGTCAACGTCTATCACCATGGTGTTTATATTTTGGTTATATATATAAAAAATATTCACAACACACTCGGGATAGAACAGGAACAGGAACACACACAACAGGAATAGAAGCAGTCTGTCTCCAAATTAACCCATCTGTCTTTCGACAGAATTATTTTGAAAGCTTCGAAGCAAGAAAATAATTTGTTAGAACTTTCCATTTTTCGACGTGCTAGAGAGGGCGCTGTATCATTATAAAAGAAGGAATGAAACTGACCGAAGTATAATAATCAAGCACCAGAGTATCAGACCGCAGTGGCATTAGCATAATATACATATCTTACTATATCTTACAACGTTTTATGTTTAGTTAAATGTTTTATTCAACATTTTAATGGTAGTAAATGTTAGCAACACTTCAAACATGTATCCAATTTCTAAAATATCATATGTAAAGGAAGTAATATTTAATTATAATATTGATTAATTGTTTTAGTGTGAAGTATTAAACTTGTATTTTTTATGTGCTTTATCGTGCCCTATAAAGCATCTTTGTGACTATCAGGTGGTTTTATTCTAGAAAATTCTTCCTGTGGAGGTTTTTTCATAAAATAACATTTACAGGTTTATTTCATTTTACCAGTTTAAGTGCATTGTTATTCAAGGAAAATTTTGTTAAGATCTTGGTTCATCGTGCTTATTAGATCATTAGCTCTTATGAATACCTGTATAAATAACTTGATAAGATAACAAATTTTCTAAAGAAAAATAACTTTCCAATGAACATCATTAACGGCATCATACGAAAATATTTAGAGGAAGCTGGAAATATCAAACAAAAGTCCCGAAAAAAAAATAATGTCAATAATATTACCCTATATTGATAACAATATTACACTATTCTGTCAATAATATTACCCCCACTGTCAACAATATTACTCTACACTGTTAATAATATTACCCTACATTTTCAACAATATTACTCTACACTGTCAATAATATGACCCCACACTGTCAACAATATTACTCTATACTTTCAATAGTATTACCCTATACTGTCAACAGTATTACCCTACACTGTTAATAATATTACTCTACACTGTCAACAATATTATCCTGCCCTGTCAATAATATTACTATGCGATGTTTGTGAAGAAACAACTGTGCAAGCATTTTCGTAGAACCTTTCAACAGATAGGTTTATGTGTATTTTCAATCCAAAAATACGAAGTTGTGTACAATCATCATTTGAAAATCTTTGATTGATAATTTAATTAAAAAGACCGTGTTTAAAAAGAACCAATAAACAAGGAATTTATATTGTTATGTCTTAAAACACGTCTCGTATATTTCTTGGTAACTTCAATAACCGTAGCATTGCGAACATGCTCTCAGTTTTACTTATTTAAAATGGGGGCGTTATAATGTGACGGTCAATCCCACTATTCGTTGGTAAAAGAGAATCCCGAGAGTTGGCGGTGGGAGGTGGAGACTAG